TTATGTTTTCGTATCGGTTTGTGTGTTGTGTTTTTTTATGTTTATCTGTGGAATTTTAATAACATTTATGAACAAGGATAAATGTAACCCATACAAACCAAAGCCGGGGGGGGCGGTTCTCGCTCATTTTTAAAAAGGGGAAGGGGTTCTGAGAGCAAAGAGTTTAAGACCCACTGGCCTATGGGAATTATGGATGCAGAAAAACTTCTGCAACGGCCCAGGAAGACTTTGGGGACGACGGATTGGCTGCCTACTTTGGGGAAACCGAGTCATTCCCAACCTTTATTGACAGAGCAAAGGTCTCGGCAATCCCACCCCAAGAGAACTCTGGCAAACAGTCCACGGGCCAGATTAAAGGGCTGGATGGGAGCAGAGCCGCCCTTCGCCCTGACCTGGCAGACACTGGCACAGCCAAGCCCAGCCAGGATCTTGGTGGCGGCTTCCCGCTGCCCCCCCCGTCCCCCGCCCCTTCGACATCCTTGGCTTTTGGCACACCCAGCCATCCCTCTGCAAACAAGCGGGTCAATTATTAATAAAACCCTGGAAACGAATCCCAGCGGAGGGATGAATCGGACTGTGCCCAGGGGCCCCGTCATTCTTTTCCAGTCGGCGCGAGGAAGATGGCAAGGGGCAGACAGAGGGAGGAAGGGTCACCCATCTGGCTGGGGAGCAAAGGTCCCTGAAGGAGTGAAGGGGCCGTGGAGAAGTCAGGTAACGGCAGCTGATCCTTTCTACAAATATAGACTCCGAGAACGGGCACAGGGCGGGTTGTTCTCCTCTTTCCTAAGACAGAAGGCAGAGCCCAGATAAGGCAGTGTCCCAGATTTGCAGCCAAACAGCCTGTGGCTTCCTGCTGCTTTGAATTCTAGTCCTTGGGGCTGAACAGAACCTCCGGGAGTCAAGGCAGTCTACCTGCGATGAGGCGAGGTGCAGTTCAAGTCAAACGGCCAGCGCTTTGGGGCCGCTTCTGCATAAATATCTGGCCGTTTGCCGTTAACGCTCCGCGTCCTCCCCCTGCGCACAAGAGCAAAACATCTGGAAACAGCTGCCTCCTAGGAAATGAAGGCTCATTCTGGGTTGTTCACGTAGTAGCCAAACATCAGGAAGTTCTAAGGAGTGGATTTGGGTTTTATCACGGAGTGCAACGGTTTCGTTGTCGGTTGGGTCTTGCAATGCTCGCTTCTGGGGCAAACGCAGACGCCATGCGCAGCGTAATCTCCCTTTCTCTTCTGGCCTGGCCACATTTTGAAATATACACCGCCTTTCCAAGTCCTCTCTCCAACCCACAGCCTTGGAGAAGTCATCCTCCTGGTTCCTGATCTACAACAGGCAGATAAATGCAACCAGTTCCTTTTTAGGACTCTTTAAAAAAAGGATTAAAAAGTCTTTTCCCAGGCTGAACTGAGACAATAATAAAACATAGAAATATAAAATATAGAAAGAACTGAAACAAAAATCTGTTGAAGGGTTGTTTTTCATGCGTTATGCTCTAAAACCATACTGCATGAGGTCCAGTAGTGTGTTTATATCCACACTTATAAACCCAACAATGATCAGACCAGTGTTTCTCAAGCTTGCCACCTTGAAGATGCGCGGACTTCAACTCCCAGGATTCCCCAGCCAGCTGGGACTGTTTTAAAACCCCACACCTGTGATCTGTGCAGCTATTTGTGCATAACTTCTAAAGTCATATCCAACATATACTTCCCCAGCACAGGTGGCATAATAGTGATATTCAGAATGAGTAAAATAAAAAAATCCCAAATAAATCTAAGAGTCAGATACAGGCAGTATCTTTCTTAGGTGATGTGAGGCTTTACCAAATCAAGACAAACTTGAACTCTCCCCAGGGTGGGAAGCTAAAGAAAATGTGTACTTTTAAAAGTTTTTTTCACACCAATAAGAACTGGAAGGTCCATGGCCCCAAGCTATAATTCCCCCTTGTCTTTTTCTTTTTTTTGACCTCCAATCCTACTACCAAATGTAGAGTTCTTAAAAATATGGACGTTTTCAGCCAAGCCTAAAAACCTCAGTTGCCCTAGAAAAGACTTCAAGACTCTACCTTGGCCGGATCTGGCTGAGGCTAAAGGAGCAGGTGATCTCCTTTGAGAAGTTGGCAAATGATCCAACTTGGCGAGGAAGCGAAACCGAGGGTCTTTTGATGATCCATGCTATGGGGGCTGTTGTTTCGTTCCAGGCCATGAGGAAACACCTCTCTGCTTAGCAGATCGAGTTTAGAGGACGCCCACATGGACGGAGAAGAGCCAAATCTGAGGCCGGCTGCAGATCACAGAAGGGACGTTGAAAGAGAAGGAGAGGCCCGGACTTCTCCAGGAGATGCGACCTCTGCCAAGTTCACAGGGGTGCAGAAGACCCCGTCCAAGGCCGACCAACAAGCAGGATCAGATCGCCTCTTGGGTACGGGAGTGACCAACGCCGGCTTCGTAGAAGAACCTCCACCCTACGCTCCACCAGACCCCAAAGACGTTCACTTGTATTCGCCATTCCAAGCCGACGTCTCGCCACAGAGTCACATCTTTTACCAGCCGACGTCAATACCGCAGGTCCTAAGCCAGCCGCCGAATGTGTTTCCCGGCCCCCATCCTTTCACTATTGTAAGTTGTAAACCAGGGCAAAGAGCAAATGCAATTGCTGAGGTTTCCCACCCCTCGTTTTTCCCCTGATCTTTTCTTGCGGGCCATTTGTGCTCAAACCAAGGATACCTTTCAGTCCTCCGAAGAGGCAACGGGGAAGTTCGGCCTCTCCCAGGGAGCCTCTTCAAAGGTTCGGTGGGTGGGCTTTGGAAGGAAACCCGAGGGTGTAATTCGGCAGCGGGAGTAAAAAGGAAGGACTCGATTGCAAGACTGGAAAGGTTCCTCCTCCTACCACATTTCAGGGAATGCTCAACCGCACGTCTGCAACGGTCACGTTGCAGTGCCGAAATCCAGCGGCAGGTTTTGGCGAGGCAGCTCTTCGCGTCCTCTTTTTAAAAAGCGAGCGTTAGAAAGGGACGTGCCAGATTCCCCGGCGGGCTTCACGCCTCCGTGTTACGGGCCCCAAACTTGGTTTTGTCCCGTTGAAATTCCGGCTGGGCTCAATCCAGAGTTGCTGTACATTTCACAGAGGTCTCTGGCTGCAAAGGATTGTGTTGCCCTGGCTTTGATCAGGAATTCTTTGACACACCGATTTGTGTTTTAAATTTACATTTACCAGGAATTCTGCAGCACCAGGAATGGAAGCGGACGTGCAGCTGGTTTCCAACGGGGGTTGGGTTAGCCCTGGGGACGCTCATCAGCCATTCTCTCTCAGCCCAGCCTACCTCACAGGATTGTTGTGTGGGAACATTGGAGGAAGCAGCGCTAGGTTTCCCACGTTGAGTTTCTGCGGAAAGATGGGATGTATATCAATCAAATAAAGAGATGGGCGTGCTTTCCAGTTCAAGGAGATGGTCAAAATTTTGGCTCTTTTTTCAGTACCACGGTGCCTGGCCTGGCGAGGGTCCCCCGGTTGGTGACCAGAGAGTGCCACCCAGAGATTATATGGTGGAATCCGTGCTGGTGACGATTTTCTGCTGCTTGCTCACGGGACTGATCGCGGTTGTCTATTCCCACGAGGTACGAGCTGCTTATGGACAAAGCTCAAATATCCCGGCTTTGATGCCCTTTCAATGGGACATTTCTGCAATTGTGCTATTAGCTGCTTAAAGGATTGGTAGTTAATCAGAACTGGTGCTTAATTAGTGGCTTAAAGAATCTGGACTTGGGTAAGATGGGGACAGTCAAAAGCAGACATCATAATGCCTAACTTTGGCATAGATCGGGAATACTTAGTTTAAGCCAATGTTTCTCAACCCTGTCAACTTTAAGATGCTTGGACTTCAACTCCCAGAATTCCCCAGCCAGCATGCTTTAAAATGGGTGGACTTTGACTCCCAGAATTCCCCAGCCAGTGTGCTTTAAGATGCATGGACTTCAACTCCCAGAATCCCCAGCCAGCATGCTTTAAGATGCATGGACTTTAACTCCCAGAATTCTCCAGCTAGCATGCTTTAAAATGGGTGGACTTTGACTCCCAGAATTCCCCAGCCAGCGTGCTTTAAAATGGGTGGACTTTGACTCCCAGAATTCCCCAGCCAGCGTGCTTTAAGATGCGTGGACTTCAACTCCCAGAATTCCCCAGCCAGCGTGCTTTAAAATGGGTGGACTTTGACTCCCAGAATTCCCCAGCCAGCGTGCTTTAAGATGCGTGGACTTCAACTCCCAGAATTCCCCAGCCAGCGTGCTTTAAGATGCATGGACTTTAACTCCCAGAATTCCCCAGCCAGCGTGCTTTAAAATGGGTGGACTTTGACTCCCAGAATTCCCCAGCCAGCGT